CTCGTACGTGGCACGCAATGACGGGCGGCTTAACTTGGTCTTCGCATTTGAGGGCTGATCGGTACGAACAGGGAACTGGAAGGGGAAAGCGTGAACGAGATCGACCCTGGGCGCTCTGTCCCTACGACGCCCCAGCGCGTTCCATCGCTATAAACAACCTGGCAAGCTTTTAAATTATCACGGTACATTAAAAGCCGTGGCTTGGATGGCAGCCACATGACGGAATAACTCAGTCTCCTCTGTGTGTGAATTCAGGCTGTGACGACTCCTTAATGAAAACTCATGTGAAGAAGAAGAGTCGAGCACCGGAACACCTCGTTTATTGTCCTGAGCATTCAGACTTGTGCAGGAGTCCATCGTCGGAGGTAATGACAGCAACAGAACAAGCGACAATTATATGGCATGTAGGCCAATCATCGACCGACGGCGCAAGACTGGAGGTGACTGCGCAGGACTCTGTACACCGGCGCCAGCTCGATAAATCAATTGACTGAGTTCTTATCCGGGGCCCAGGCTTCAATCAATTCTCGGGTTGTTTCGTTTCCGGCGTGGGCGACTATTTTTGGTGGCTGCGAAGTTAAACTCGTGACCCATTTCGTAGGTGTGGTTGGCCACTTGTGATAATGAGTGGTGTCTTCGCACAGCCAGCTTATGTTCGTGTATGCGCGATCTGAGCATGCGTCCACTTTGGACTGTGCAGTTACAGGGAGAATTTTGACACGGGATAAGATGCAGTAGTCGAGACTGCTCTTCAGACCTTAAACGGTCTTTGATTTTCATGACCCAATTGCGCATGGTGGCTTTGGGCCAGTGTACAATTCCAACATCTAGCTCCGCAGCAATGCGCTCGGTCGCTTCTGAAACGCCCTTGATGTTGTATGTCAGGGAATGCCATATCGTCGGTGGTGTTGGGGTTCGAGTCCTCTTGTGGCGACCGCGTAGGCAGCAACTTATGAATGCCTTTGGATAGCTATTCTTCATAAATAAATCGCGAAGATGACGGATCTCACGTGCTCTGTCCTCCAGTTTGCTGCAATGAGTTTGGAACTGCTTGAAGAACGTCTCCAAACAGCTTCGTTTGTGAGCCACCGGATGGTTGCCGTGAAAACTGAGGAGCTGTGTGGTGTTCGTAGCCTTCCTATAAACAGTCGTTTCAAGTTCACCGTTAAGGTTTCGTCTGACAAGTACATCCAGGAAGGGCAACTGCTTTTCCTGTCCTTCTTCCCTCATGACTTTTATATCAGGGAAGACTGCGTTGGACAGGCTGTGGAAATGTTGCAGCATGTCCTTCTTTACCATGACGAACGTGTCGTCTACGTAACGGCTCCAAAATACCGGCGCATGTTGGATGAATGCAATCTTTTTCAATCTTTTCGCGAAAGCTCCTGTGTACTTCTCGTTTCTGCAAAAATTCGTACGCAAGCCAGGCGTATGTGACGCACGTCAGATCTCGCCCCCCGTCTCCCTGACTGTCTTGAAAATGGGCTCGGTGTGTTAGGAAGGGGAGGGTGCGATAGATGCTGCGCAAACCCACCATAACTTCAGACTGACTTACCCGAAAGTCACCGTCCCTATGCCTACCATGCTGCACGACACACGACGAACATCGTCTACTGCGGAGGCTGAAGTGTCGTGTTGAGGGATTGCCTTTTAATGAAAGTGACGCCCACATTAGAGTGAAAGCTGACTTTCCCCAGTTCAGAAACACCATCTGGTCGCACAGACATGCGTCATATTACCAACAGAAGCGAAGAGACGAGTCCCAGGAAACAGTCTTGAAGAAGAAGACGAGATCCCCGGGACAAGTCTAATACAGCGCTTGTCCCGGCGATCGTGTCTTCTTCTTCAATGCGTCGTATTATTTTAAAAAGGGAGCAGACATCTCGGACCCTACTCAAGTGTGAGGACAACTGCGATCACATCCCGAAGGATCCATTGAGACTAACGCTTCGTCCAGAGCGAGTTGCTCTATTAGTTTGCAGCTATTCGGGTAAAAGCTCTTGGTATTTCATTAGAGGCAAGCTCATCAGGTTTACTTAAGTGGAGAATAGGCTGAAGTGTTACGCGAGGGATCTTCGCGGTGCCGAGTTCGCTCTCTTTTCCTTCTCCCGCACACAAACCGATTATCTAACCCGGTCAGTCATTTGATCTTGGGATTGGACGCAAACTACTGGTACGGCGTGGGCTCGAGCCTAGGCGTATCACTATGTAAGATTTGTTATAAGATGCGTGGCCACTGCTCAGCCCAGCGCATCTTCCGCCTGGTTCGTTGCAGAGGCATGTAAGGAACTAGTGATGTGAACGCAAATCATTCCGCCGAGAAATTCAAGACCCTGTCTATAGGTAATCAAAGATCCGGTACTTCAGTTTCCTCTGGCAAGGGTGGGTTTCTTGCCAAATTAGCTTATCTGCCACCTGAAAGACAGCACATCTCTTGGCATCACATTGAAGTCACCAGTATCTTTTAAATACATAATGTAGATGTGCTTGCAGGAGCCAATACAGGGAATAAAATAAGCCCATTACGAAGGAGTGCCCTGTGCGTATTAAACTTTTCACGCTAACTCTACGGCGCATTGCAAAGATCGAGCATTATTGTTGCCGGCCAATCTGTCTCGCAGCACCGATCACTAAATTACCGCCCGACCTTGACAAATCCCGTTGTTATAATACTACTCGGTATATTTCAGTAACCTTTTAAATTGCACATATTGTTGTCTCCAATCCATCGCCTACGCTCACTGACATGCACCTATTCAACTTTTGCCACCGGGTATATTATTCATTACCCTACACTCGAAACTACCGCTGTACTACTGCTCGTACCATTAACATTCGAGACAATCTACAGAGTTGACGCTTTTCTGATTATTTGTTACCTTTATGATACATCTCCAGTTTTTGAGATTTTGCAGTTGCTTGTACTTAAATAGGGAGTTCAAAGGTGAAGACCCACATTTCCCTCGATAAAACTGAACTGAACTGAATACGCTTGTTATTTGCATAGTTGCTTCTCGTGTATTCCGCGCTCTGCCTAGTGCTGCCGTGAGACCGGTTAATATAACACTCTTCGCCGATTGGCCGAAGACGAACGTGGCTCAGGCGCATGCATACCCAGTTTGTGTCGGGAAAGCGAAGTCTAATCTGAGGTGCTGCCGCCGATTTTTCAGCCGTCTTTGCGCTCCCCTCTAACAATGAAAACTGTGTGTCTGACTTTTGACTCGGGAAACTACCCGTTGTCGGGCCTCACACCCATCCCCACACAGTCGTTGATTCTCGATATGAAGCCTACGCCAGAGGATGTTTTTCGCTTATGGCTGACCAATTCGTCGTTAATAGTGTTGGCTCAATTGGACAGAAGCAAATTCTGTAGTACTTTCCCCCTTTCCAGTATTGACAAAATTATTGGTGGGGCTGTTGCGACGGATTACGTGGCAAACACTCACTGAGATGTCTTCATTTGGCAACCAGTTCGTGGGCGGTGTATTGTAATATCCTGTTAATATCGATAGTCAGTAATGCAGGGCATCGGCGCGCATGCTAAAGGGATTTTTGAGGCAGTGTGTGGCCTGAAAGATTGTAGTTCAGACAGCTCACAGATTGAATTTCATACTTCAGATTCCCCTCCGTTATTCTCAAGTGCTCCGTGGATTGGTTTGTTGTATAGCGTGCATACAGTGACACTGCTCAACCTAACAGCCTCGAATATTCTATCGACCGGAGAGGAAGGCAAATGTAGTCGCTCGCGAACTCAACGATCACATTACAGCTCTCAGTGGAGTAGATGGATGCCGAATACACATTCGTCTGGAGCGGGCCCTAAAAATGATGAGATTTCTGATTTAACCGCGCCGTCGGGGACGACATTGTGGGACGGCTGTCCTGCCTGCCACAGGACGTCAATAACTCTCCGATGACCGTGAGACTGCCGCCCCGAGGGAGAAAATCTACCAGCAATTCCAGCCCCTCCGCTCTCTCAATGAACAATTCTGGTGACTTGTAGGACAGGCACTCCTAGTAACTGTGCCGAGATTTGACAAACGGATTGTTTGTGGGGACTTTGATTGCCGCCTCGGCACAGTACACGTTGGCTGAGTGGAAATGATGGATCTCCAGGGGATTGACTTGTATTACTGACTGTGAGGGATCCGTTGGAATGGAAGTATACACCATGGACGCCTGCAATCGTCCAGTCTTCCAATCTTATCCCCCTCTCCGTCTGCGCAGGCTAATTTGCCCAAACAGTAACTGAACACAGTATGAATTTGGAGTCAGAGGGAGCTAGTTATGGCGCTTTTCGCCATCCGATAAGGGTCTCTTCCTCGTAGTTTTTACATTAAGACTTATAGAACATATATACATCTCGTCTCACCTTTTAAATGTAAAATTGCAATTGCATGGTTTGTCCGTGAATCTTGGCTTGCCGAACGCAAAGTAATGAGCTCTGTTTTCGCACAAAACACTATCAATGGCGTGGACGAATTCCACTCGAAGCAACTCCACTGGACACTCTACATATTTCTGTTAGTCCCTTGACAGTGCATATTGCAGCACTAATTTGCAACCTATGTGAAGTTTTTCCGTTCTACAGGGAATTTTGCTCCAGACGCAACTGTGAACTCTAAACTATCAGTAAATTTTTGATCTTTCAGATCATATTTAAAGGTTTATGGATGCAAGGACCCGCATTTTCTTATGAAAATATAACGTCAACTGAAACGAAGACGTGGGTCGACCTTCCTAGAATCAGTCCTTCCTTTAAAACACTGTCGCAGTTAGAAGGGACCATTTTCATCCAGTTAAAAGAAGCTGTCCGGGAATCTGTCGAGTCAAGTAGGGGTACACGCTGCGTATCGCCCTCAAAATGTGCGTTCGATTAGAAATGTCAATAAGCTATAAAGGAGTGTTTATATTCAATAATATATTTGATGTTAGTTTTGCAAATTTAAAAAATTTGAATAAAAGGACAGTCATAAAAAATAAAACGGTCATTGTTGCACTCAGGGTGGCAGGACCTCTTTCTTAGTTGCCATCTCAGCCAAGGGCAAGTTTTGCGGAGCGGATAATTTCTTCAGGGTGTCTCTGTCAAAGAAAGATGGCGGGGGGAGAGGACACGAACTTCGAGGAGACAAAGACCTCACAAATGAGGGCTTGGAAACTGCCGAGACAAGGGTCTGGAGGAGCCGATCAGTGCCGATGTCAGTGATTGCGGAGCACTCAACATAGTCGACTGCACCAATGCGGCGGGCCATCAATGAAGTCTGCACAAAAATGTAAACAATTTAATCTACTAACTTTCTGCAGGTAGACCATTTAATATAGTTTTAAAATTGCAAGCCTGCAGCGAGTATAGCAGGGCGATAAATACCTCTGTGATGGTAGGAAAGTCGTGCCCGGTGCTCTGAAGGCGTTTGTAAGTTTCGACGTCAGCTCTTAGGTCGCTTTGAAGACCAACCAGCAGAAAAGGGACTTTGTGACCGCATTGCTGAATTTCACGAATCCACTTCTCCGTCACGGCGCTTTGGCTATCCGGATCAGCAACAGAGAAACAGATGGCAAATATCTGGGCTCCGGAGTAAGATAATTCCCGGACCTTTTCGTGGGCATGACAGCCTGTCATGGCGAAAAGAGAAATAAAGACAGTCAATCATAGTTTAACTATGGGCACTGAGTTTCTCAATTGAAAAGTATAGGTCTATGTAAAGACCCAATCCCGTTATTGAAAACTAGTGACGACCTAGAACTCAGTGAAGACGGAGAAAAGGCAGAGCACCTTTCACAGTTCTTTAAGTCCATCTTTACGAAGGAAAGCGCATTTCTCCCTCCCGATTGCGACATAGTGGACGGGCCAACGATTGAGCACGCCTCTTTCGCCGAAGCTATTGTTCGCAAAGAACTGTTGAAGTTGAATGAGTCTAAATCACCTGGGCCGGATGACATACCGCCCAAATTGTTGAAGGAACTTGCTGGAAAACTATCCAAACCGCTGTCCATGCTCTTCCAAGCTTCGTTCGAAGCAGGCTATTTGCCCTCCGATTGGAAATCAGCGCGGATCACGCCAATTTATAAAGGCGGCAGCAAGGTCTTAGCAAACAACTACAGACCAATCAGCCTCACTTCAATTTGCTGCAAAATTATGGAGAAAATAATAAAGCGAGAAATAATGCACTTCCTAGAAGAGCATAATCTGCTATGCGATGTCCAGCACTGATTTCGTAGAGGCAGATCATGCGTGACGAATCTACTATATTGTTTAGATCGCTGGACCCGGGCAGTCGATGGCGGCAATGCAGTGCACGCAGTCTACGTCGACTTTAAGAAAGCATTCGACAGTGTACCCCATCAGCGTCTCCTGTACAAATTAAACCGAACAGGCCTGAGGGGTAATCTCCTGAGGTGGATACAAAGTTTCTTGATCGGTCGCTCTCAAATCGTCCACGTCGGTGACAGGCAGTCGGCGGAGGTAGCGGTTGAAAGCGGTGTTCCACAAGGCTCCGTTCTTGGCCCTACCCTATTCATTATATACGTCAACGACTGCGTCAGTGAACTGAATTGTGATGTCGCCATGTTCGCTGATGATGTTAAACTTTGGAGCGTCATCCGAACTGAATTTGACGAAGAGCGCTTGCAGGCAGACCTGACCCGACTCGAGAAATGGTCACAGGACTGGCTGTTGCCGTTTAATGTGACTAAGTGTAATGTCCTGCGAGTCGGCAGGACCCGATCTCTGAACCGGAGGGTTTACCACCTAAACGGCGTACCATTGCAGGAGGTAGACGCCCAGAAAGACTTGGGGGTGTGGGTAACGGCTTCTCTAAAACCGTCACTTCACTGCTCCAAGGTAGCCAAGTCTGCGATGTCAGTCCTTTATCTTGTCAAGAGAGCTTTCTCTACCTTCGATGAGGACTGCTTCGTTAAAGTCTTTCGGACTTTCGTACGGCCACAGCTAGAGTTCGCTATTCAGGCGTGGAAACCGTGGACCTCTAAAGATCTCAGCATCCTTGAGAAAGTTCAGAGGCGGGCAACCAAACTCGTAAGTGGACAGGGTTCACTACCCTATGAAACCCGATTGTCCAATCTCGGCCTCTTTCCACTGAGTTACAGACAGCTACGAGGCGACCTTATAAAAACATTCCGTATACTGCGCGGCCAGGACTGCTGTCTCGTACCTACTGATTTCTTTGAGTTAGCGACCACAACGAACCTCCGAGGTCATCCACTTAAACTACGCGTAACTGGCGCCAAGCTGGACACTCGGAAGTTCTTCTTTTCAAACAGAGTGATCGAGGCCTGGAATGCTCTGCCTGCAGGTGTCGTCATGTCCACCTCCGTCGAGGCTTTTAAGCGCAACTTGGACCAGATTGCCACCAATCGTCATAATGCCACCTGACAGATTGTCTAGCATTTCGTTCGAACAGTTTATTAATGTTGTTATATTACTTCCTGTATTTCAGTAACTTTTGTTTTTTTAATATTGTCCCATGTCTGTTGAATGTGTGTTAGCATTCAATTCGTCTCCCTCCGAAACTGAGATAGCACCAACTATCCCTAGACAGACTACTGTACAGCACATTTAGTAACGTTAATGTTTTTAACTCTTGGAACAATTCGTTTATCTGTCTGGCTTACAAAACGTTGCCAATCTGAAGAAACTCTGTAGCCGTTTGATGTTTCCATTTTCAAATTTTTTTTATTGTTCGCCTCCTTGTAACAAATAGGGAGTTCAAAGGTTTAACACCTATATTTCCCTCAAATAAACTGAAATGAACTGAAGACGGGGGAAACACATTTACAGATGTTGCTTAAGTTACAGTGAATGCGCTGAAATTTTAAATGTGTTTTCGAGTCGGAAAGATTAGCTAAATACGGTTGCAATATTAATTGCCGTGAAGCATAATGCCAAGACATTTCGGCTACGTCAGAATACTGGCTTTTAAACGTGATTCTTCTCAGCCGCCTCAAAAAAATTCGCCCTGTAAGAAATGACTAAGTAGGTATCACTGACCTTCGATGCTCCCATAAATTTAACTATATTTTATAGAAAACGGATGCGAAAATATTCGTTCATTTGTTCGTTTAGTGACAAATTACGTCCCTCTAAAACTGCTGTTTAAAGGAACAGTAAATTTTGTTTTTAAAAAGTTCCTAATTATGGGAATTTTCACGTCGTGAAATATATATTCATAAGTCAGCGTGTCTCTCAGTTTGCAAATGTTGCTTATAAACTATGCAGTGTGCTTTAAATCCACTGCAAAATTTTATGAACATCAAGGGGTATTTTCTTACTGTGGTTTAGAAAGCGTAATTTCTCTTTCACGGAGAATATGCAACTTGTAGTTCGGAAACCCTGAATGAGAGTCTAACGGCGGGTCGGATCAAAGGTTACTCGGGAATTTTAAAACTTTCTAAAAAACGGAAGACACTCCTCCTTGAAGCCTTCAATTTGAAGAAGACGTAATTTACTACTAACCGAGTAAATAAACAAATGTTTTCGTACACGTTTTCTATGAAATGTATCTAAATTTATGTATGTGAGCGCCGAAAATAAGTGAAAAAGTCAGAATACTTAAGTAGTCATTTTTACAGCTCCCAGTTTTTACAGACGACCGGGAGGAATATATTTCAGAAATATACTTTACGGTAAGTAAAAGTTAAACCGCATTTAAGCAATTTTTTATGAGGCAGCGCATCTACTGTAGTGTCCCGTTGATAATCCAGACTATTCAAAGGTTATCGGCTTTCACTACCGCAAATTCTACTACTTTGCTAAATAAATAACAGGATTTCACATCAGAAACTCCTTTACTGACTTCTGCCGCCACCAATTCTCTCCCTCACCCTAATGCTCAGTTTCAAATAATCTACCAAGAATTTTTCTTCTTGCAGACACAAAGCATACTAAAAGCAATACTAAGAAGACCTATCTGATCGACCCTCGGGAGCTGGTGCGAGTCATTGGACAGTTAAGAAGGATTTGTCGCAGTTCAGACGCTGAATGCGGCTCATTCTCGGAGTCAGTGGCTAACGCTGCGATCGTTCTGTCTGCCCGCATTGTGATGTACGATCTGTAAGCTATACCCTAATTCAGAAAACCATGTCGCTGGCAGCCTGGTATGCCCCAGTACTTCTCTGGCATATGGTCCTTGACCGGTAGCGGCGCTTGCCTCTCGCTGGGTATACGAACCATGAGGATGGCCGCCAAATCATCATCATCATCTTTTTCACCCATTGTGGCGCTGTTTTTAGTTAGAATACTGGTCATATGTCGTCTGGACCAGGGAGTGTGGAGCGGAGCACCAAGGTGCGGGTATATGCTACGCAAGTCTACTATCATTATAAACAAATACAGGCGCAAGTCGCCGTGCTTGCTGCAACGATCGAACTGTTCTACTGCTCGGTGGTCGTCTAACACAATAAACTAGGCCTGACCAATCACACGCCGGGAAGATAAATGTTATAACGGACAAAAGTCGTTCAAGTTTGCGCGGTGCACAAAGAAGTGCATGTACTCTCGGAAGTGCAGACGGTGACCTACGGGCGGAGAAGATTTGATACATGTGTAGCCTGATCGAGTGGCTGATTAAGAGTCAATGGGCGTGCAACACGAATTACCGCACAAACCTGCGCAGATTATGTGTAGATGAGCATCCCAGTTGGGATAAGGCTGGAGGAAAAAGGTCAAAAGGAGCCGCATTTTGTCGGTGTTTCTGTCACATCCAACGAAAACCCCCTTTAGTGCTTCCTCAGAGCTTGCTTCTAAGGGTAAATAACTACTGAATTGGGCGTTTTGGACGTCCGAGAGGAGTTAGACACGTTTTACTCTTTGGTTGCCCAATGTAATCATCGCGTTTTGACTGAAACGCCTTGTATATCTCCTCTGCAGTTCCACAAAGGTATGCCAGACGTATCGGCCCATGATGAAATAACTGCTGCAACTTACTAACGAAACAAGGCGACGGTAGCTGATGTGGCTATCCAACCCCGTTTTGTATGTCAGACTCTGCGACGGGCTACCCTGCGAGTATGTAGGAGCAAACAAACTGGCCCACGGTGCGTGAACTTTGGGGGAGCGGCACAAACCGCGGGGGAGATCATAACTACGGAGGTGCGTGCGCTTGGCAGCACACCTTAGACGTAGGCATTCACGGCATTTCATCCAATGCGCCAACTTCGGACGGTTTCCGGGCGCATTCGAAAAGAAAGAGATGGCGTTGCTGAGACCGGGGAAGTCATCCTCACGGTTTATCAGCACAGCCCTCATTTTGGTTAATCTGAGGCGCTTAAAAATATCTTGCCGTGCTAGGAGTGGTGGCTTGGAGGCTGCCAATTGACGGGATACCCCGGTCGTTCTTAGGACTGAGAGTCAGACTGGAATGACGCTTTTAAGTGGGACCTTTTTGTCGTCGTACCACATGTGAGCTCCGATAAATCCTTTCAGAAGCCTGGCACCAAGTCGCCTGTGACGGGTATAAACGGGCTGTCAGCCACTGCGTTCATCCCTACCGTTTGATGAGCTGGAGTGCATGCAAAATGAGAACTAAATGGATAGGAAGTGAAGGAGCAACTGCGGGGATTATCCGCCATGTCTCCCATTTCACTCAAAAGCCACGACTTATATCTCAGAGAAGTGATCAACATGTCGTGATTATTGAGTCAACCATCAACAAATATACTGTAGAAGTGGTGACAGTGGACCTTGGATTGTCCAATTTTCATTTATATACTGAACCTTTTATAACTCGACGAGGTCACCCGACCTTGTTGTAGATGTTCCGTACGACTTCTAGCATATTTCTGAACATTTTGATCAACGTTGCTGCAGTGGCCAATTAGTTTTGCTATGAGGCCCCAGTATCCGCCTAAATCTGTCAAAGTCGTACCATTAAAAAGACAAGCTTCGTGTCACGTCAGCACTTATACTCACTCTCTGCTGACGTTCACAATGCGTTGGCACAAAAAGGAAGGATGCTGCAATGGTTCTGGCCGTTCCTATTTCCCTACTATTAAACACGTTTTCCTATGTACCGAGTAGTCCATAAGCGGACCATTCTGCAATTTTCTCATATAACGAGATAAACTCTGTTGGAGGCCTTATCCCTAGTCGCTTCCCTTTGCAGATGAGTAGATGACCGTCTGTGGAGCTCTCCACATAACACGTCGCCTATCTTTACACCAGACCCCAAGGACAATGGACGGCTACAATGTCTCCTGTTGCCACCACTCTGGCAATCGAGGCTCTACTTTTCAGGGCTCTTGGGATTACTATGCCTTCTGTTTGGAGGGGGGGGGGTAGGTGGTCATTTATTGGGACATAGACCTGGAAACAGACGTCCGTATTCAAAGGCCCTAAGAGCACAGTCATCGGGATGACTCATGAGATGGGAAAGCCTTGTGCTAATCATAGCGTTGGTTAATTGCCACATTGTATGTCGACTTGCAGGAGTTCTCTGGTGGTAACCATGGAAATGAAAGGAACCTCTAGTATGTCGCTGGTTGTCAAGACAATGAATGGTACAGGCGGTAAACACTGGTCATAATTTGCCGTGTTTTATTGGGACAAACATGCGCGGAGAACGTTTCACCGGGCTGTCAATGAGATGATATGCCCTAATTGCTGAAAAATCTACGGTATGGGTTAATAAGGCTAATTTTTTCTCAGGATTTTTCAGGTGATTGCAGTTGGGACGTGAAAAGCCCCAGGTTCCCCAATAAACTCCTAGTTTCCACGACAATTATGCTTGCTTAGGCAACAGTGCTCATGGTGAAAATTACACTCACCATTCTGCTTGGGCCTTCTAAAATGCGCAGACTGTTTGCCACTTATGCAGAAGGTCAACATGTTAGTACTGAGCTCAAAAAGGCTCTTAAAAAAGACTCCGTCTATCTGCAGATAGAGCCCTATCGGGACTGACCTTGACTAATCAGTGCGGCTAACGGTTTAGCGACTGGCCAACAACCGAATTTAATGGGATATTATATAGGATGATCAATGCGAAGTGGAGAGTTCACACATCGTTTGAAATAAAGGGGAAGTCGAGATCTTCAAAGCCCACCTCTCATTCGGGTGTACAGTGACCGACTCCAGGCGTGCGACACTTCGCCTCTCACGCTGGACATTGGCTTTTCAGCCAGACGAAACCATCTAAACCGGCCAATCATCTTCAAGTCCGGCAGGTATATTCCCACGCGCTTACTATCACTGAAAAGGATTCAAGCATTGGAAGCTCGGATACTGACCTGAAGAAAGCCGCTCCAGCCCAAACTCATCATCGGTATTTGCTTCAGCTCCTACTGACTACTTTATCTCTGCGTTCTGATAGGTCAAATAACTTTGACTGACTTCCGGGGAATGAAGGCCGTCAGATCGCATACACTTCCAACGATTCGGACAAGCATCTCTTGGCGTTGTGGACCAACCTCAGGGCAGTCCTCTCCCGTTCCGCCTGAAGCAGTACTTTCTTCTGTCTCCTGTGGCCTTTGCCAGTTTCTAGGACAAGAGCCACAGCGTGTAGGACAAACAGATCGGGGTGTGTGTGTGTGTGTCAATTCCTCTTTGACTGCATCTTCTCTCCCACGCATGTGGGAGGTGTGAGTCTCGGTTCCATCTCCATGCGACTCCTCTGCTGCATATGTGATCCCAGTCTGAGACTATAACGGCGCTTCATGCACTGCTGTTTGGAAGGCAACTGACTGACGCCCCGACGAAGTCCATGCAGAATGATATTACCGACAAAGACAAGGGAGACTGGAATGGCCATTTCTGGCTTATTAGCCGTCGTCAGCCAGCCATACCGAAGCCCGAAGTGTGGAACACCCGAGCCTCGAACTCGTGACCTGTTGGTTTAGAAGTCCACGCCTCTATGCACCGGGCCACGAGCCCGTTGCCCTGTCGGTTTTCGATCGGGAATCTACAATGGTAGGGGGCGCTCACCGATCGTTCATACGGAACTCCCTCGTTCCGTTGTGCCTTAAGGGCTCTCTCTCGAGCCCAACCAGCAGCCGCACAGCGGCGCATGATATATAGGCAGAATGGCATTACCGACAAAGACAAGGGAGACTAGAATGGTCATTTCAGGCTTATTAGCCGTCGTCAGCCAGTCATACCCAGTTTTGAGTGTGTTTTGTGTGGTCTGACGGACTGGTGGGCTGAGAGGCAGGCCGAAACTACTCCTTCTTAACGTGACCTACGGTACTCTCACGCATGTGAGATGTACGCCGCTCAACACCCGCTGTACGAAATCCTGATACTTGTGTTTGGGGAGCCAGGCCGTGCATTTGGCGCGCGCAGACAGTGTCACTAGATATAACAGCCACTGCGTCCATTCCCCACACCTGTCAATCGACCGGCTTGGACTGTGACGGGGGCCTGGGAAGGGGAAGAGTCAGTAAGGTCGACGACTCAGCGCATTTTTCTTGCCATAAACAAGCTGACCCGTTTGATGCTATCACGGTGCGTTGAAAGCCGTGGCTTAGAATGTTGTCAACTGGCAGGATAACTTGGACCTCGCAGTCGGCCCAGTGTTGTGTGTCTTTGTGTGGAGCGGCATTAATGGCACTCTCGCTCCGTGGGATCCGATCCGCAGCTTGTCTGCTTTGGTAGGACAAACAGGTTGCTGTGTACGTCAATTCCTCTGCGATTGCCTTTTCTTTTCACTCCGATGCAGATTGACTGATGAAAGAACACTGGTGGGGCAAAGGATCGATGGTACTAGCACTCACTTGCAAATCAGCTGACAACTGTTTGGGAAAGAAACTGACAGGGCACGGAAGTACTGACATGCGCAGGAGAACGGTGGAGCTTGGAAGAAAAGTGAGCACTTTGAGCAACCATGCAGTCACATGCTCTCAGTGCGGTGTGCATGTGTGTTTGTGTGATCTGTTACGAAACCGCACTTTGCGCACGCACACACACAAACACGTGGACCATTAATGACCCTCTCGAGGTGGAGGGGGGGGAGGCCTGTCGGGCGGGCAGGCACACATCTTCCGTCAGCCTTGAAGTTTTCTCAGTGTGCATGACGCGTGTGACCTCCAGCGCGATGTATGAAAGAGGTCACTGGGTGTGCCGCAACCTACTCTGACCCGTTAAAACCTGTTGTGAGCTGGAAATGCTAGCTGCTCCGTTAAATAACTGACGCTGTGCAGTTCTTTCGGCTGGTGTGGAGCGAGGTAGTAGAAAGTTGCTTTGCGATTAAGGGGTGCCACCTTCACATGACCAGATCGCCTTTATCTACATGCAGCTTTGGCCACAGTTCTAAATCCTCACGCGCACCTTATTTACCCGGGCAGTTGTCCCACCGGAAACCTCTCGCCACCAGTGGACACCACTTTCAACTTAACCTTCGTTTGGTTTTCTTCACTCTTCCGCTCTGCGTATTTCTGAAATAAAACTTCCGCCAGCACTCGCTCATAGCATATTTCATTATTCGAGCATGCTTGTTGTCCGGTAGCTTGCGTATGCACAGCCAGATCTGTGCGGTTAAACGAAAAAAAACTGATTGAATGACCATATGGGGTCCCGTGAGTAACTGTCTGTCGCATTAAATTATGTGTGACAGCGTCTCAGAGAGCTAAAACACTCAGACTCTCTATCACTTCAGTCGGTGACCGATCTCGTGAAATGTTGATCGAAATTCGGAACTGCGTTTCCGATGAGGAGGGATAACTTAAGTGCCGCTACAGTATTGATTAGCATGCGGCATGATCCCATGGCCTGTTGGATACGCCAGGATGTCGGCTTCCGAACGCATTCTCTTCGGCCGTCCGCAAAAAAGTACTCGATAAAATCGACTGTCCAAGTTTTGGGCATTTTTTCTGTATAAACGTAGCTGATCTTAAAGAAAAAATGTATCCATTTGGAAATTGTCTATTGGAAGGATGGTATCTTTAGGTTTCGAAAAGGAGTTTCCAATTTTAGCAAAACTTCGAGCCTAATCTCATATTGCGTTTTCGCATACGACCTACAGTCTACAAACCTTATACTATCCATGCAAAAAACTACAGTCATCTATGCCATTAAAAGGATGCCATACAGGAGCTGGGTCAGAATGAGTTATTCAAAATCTGCCAAGCACATAAAGGAGTCCCAAAATATTGCAGTGGATTTAAAGTGGGTTGTAAGTTTGATACGGCTGACTAATAAAAGGGCGGGTAGAGTGATAACTGAATGGACATAGGGCAGCCTTAAAAATTGTGTAACTATAAGATTTCTTAAAACCAAAAGATACACTTTTTTCGAGTTTAAAATTTGAAGACGAGAGCTGCTGCCAAATGAGTAAATAAAAGCATATTGTTGACTGTGTTTCCTATAAAAGATATTTGACTTTATAAGGGCATCAAAAATCGATGACAAGAATTCACGCTAAGTAAGTGATCAATGTTTACCGGCGGAAAATAAATGCACTGAGAAGCCATTATTCTGGAGCGACCGAAATGCCACTGGATTATGCTGCAGGATAAATAGTAGCGCAACCCAATTTAAGTAACTTTTCCCCCTCGAAAATGAAACTCAGAACTTCACTTAACGTTTCATGCGATCGGTCAGTAATTGTAGTTTCGGTGCCACCTATAACTAGGTGTCTGCCCGACGTCGGTTCTTTATTCTCGACTGCGGACTTTCTTCGCATCCGTGCTTCTATCACCAGCTGGCAACCGGGATTCACATGTGAACCAGTGGCTTGTCCCAACTTCCTCTTGCTCTTTTGACACACGCTCGGCATTGCGGCCTTTCCACACCATTCCTTGGCCTCTCGGTACAGAACAGACTTCTCCTCTCATAGAAGTCTGAATTCTGCTCTTAATAGGGACCTCGCCAGTATCGGGGGCTTGAGAGCCCCTTATGGTTCTGGTTGATTTGGAAACTCCACTGAATTTCAAATCATCTGTTGCCCAGTTTTTGCACACTTATGCCGAAATAAATAGAACTAGCGGCGGTCAACATTCCAGTCAGTGCACCAGTTTAACCGTCATTATCGACTATGTCCACCATGTGTCCCACAGCAGGTTTGTTTCAAGGACGGTCAACCGGGCGTGAATCAATTTATGGGAGCAGGAGACTTTCGTTGCATCTATCGCGTCGCTCATCTCCCACCATCCTGAGTTTTGGGGTCAGGACAGAGTCAAGAAGACCGGAGGCTGGATCGGGTGCAGTGTATGACAAACTAACCAATCCCTCCGAGCGCACCACACACGGCCGCCCCGTGCACAAAGAACGAGGCATTCATCAAGACGATAAAGGGCCGGCTCGTGTCCCAACGGACTGTCATGAAGGCCACATTACGAAGGAGCTATTGTGGTAGGGGGTGCTCACCGATCGTTCTTACGAACCTCACTCGTCCCGTTGTGCCTTACGGCCTCTCCCTCGAGCCCAACCAGCAGCCGCACAGCGGCGCATGATAGAGGCAGAATGGCATTACCGACAAAGGCAAGGGAGACTGGAATGACCATTTCCGGCATATTAGCCGTCGTCCGCCAGTCATACCCAACCCCGAAGTCTCGAACTCGCGACCTGTTTGTTGGAATTCCACGCCTCCCACCACTGGGCCACGAGCCCGTTGCCCTGTCGGTTTCGATCGGGAAAATACAATGGTAGGGGCGCTGACCGGATCGTTCTTACGGAGCTTAGGAGCTATTGCAGCCTCTCTCTTCATCCTGAGAGAACCGAGCTGCCCTATTATCTCGCAGGATTTGAAGCCTAGGCTTTTAGCCCAGCCTAATACTTCAACAGTGCGTCAAGTTGTTTGCAGTGAGGAATACGCACTGAATGTCGTAGGGACGAAACCCCCTAGGTTTGACCTCTCCTTATCTTCCTTCTCATATGCACCAATCAGGCGTCAGAGTAGATCATTCCTTTGATCTGGCGATTAGGCTCAGCGCCTTACAGATTAAGACAGCCCGTCTGCGCTTGTCAAATACGATCTGTGCACAACGCAGAACGCCAGATGGGCAGCTCGGGTCACGATAGGAGTTAAAAGACAGGACATAACGGCAAACGTATTTGAACGTGCTGGGGGAAGAAAATGGTTATTTACGTTTGTGGACATTACTGGTGAACAGGAGGTCTAATTGGCAGTTTTTCATGCTTAATATTATTATATATTAATATTATTTCATGCTCAATATTATTATTACTAATATATTATTAATATTATTATAATATATTATACTAGTAAGAAAAAACAAGACTGGGACGTCCAATTCTACATAAGAGGCTCGTGGTTTATTTTGTTCTATTTGACCAGTGACTAATATTAGTCGGGAGTTTGATGCGACGGGCTAAGGACGGAAAATATGCCGGAAACATTCATTCCGTTCCCCCGTATTTTTGTCTATACTTCTCCCTGCATGTGTAATGGTCTTTATGTGACCGCCTGAGAGCACCTTAGATTGGGCTTTAAGTTGCAACGAAGTGAGCATATATCGTACCGATATCTGGATGTGCCCACGTCCCAGAAGTGAATATTTCTTATCGCAATAGATAAGACAGTGACTCCCTAGCTCGATGGAAGTGCGGTTGAAACAATAGCCGAAAATCCCTGACTTAATCCAAGGTGCTTCAAATTAGAATTGCATGGGGTGGCTGACGATGACTAATAAGCCAGAATTGGCCATTCTAGCCTCCAGTTTCTTCGAAGTACTCCACTTGCATCACTGCTAATCGTTATGCCACTATTCTAAGAACTTCTAACTAAGACCTCAAGGCGTCATGCGACAGGCATGTTTCACACTATGTAGACTGGTTTACAACCCTCTAACACTCTTATGCACGTCCTAGTTTGGTTCGAGGTATGCATAACGCTAAAACTATGCCTAAGTAGATGTAGCAAAAAGTATGTTTGATTCTAGCAATGTAAAATAATGTGGCTTGTTATAGACCCTTGAGTAAGATGTGATAATCTCGGCGCGAAGAAAGACCCACATGGTCCAAAAAAGATCAATTAAAGCGAATCGTATACGACACCAGATAGGCTTTTGCCCATTCAATCTTGTCAAGCACGCATTTATAATTTATCCCGACACATCTGTGAAAAGCATTACAGCCTTGGTGGGATTCGGAAGCATGGCGGCAAAGAGAAGGCTTGACTTCAGCCAACGCTGTAGCCACTCAATCTACTCGGCCCCACCGGAAGCCATAGGTTTAACGAAGTATGAGTAAACTTCTACGCCCAGATTACCGCGGGGTTTATAATCCATCAAAATTTGATACAGTAAGTTGACTGCCTAAGCAGGATTTCGTAATAAAACAATCTAGATGATGACGTCTAACAAGCCACAAATGGCCATTCGAGTCTTTCTAGTTTTTGTCGGCAATGCTAACCTAGAAACTCGTAAATGATTACCAGGCATCAGAAGCTACAAGAGCCCAGCCAAGTTTCAAATATTCTTTTTTTAGGCAGGGCAGCCATGTTCGCTCCGGGCTCTACTTATGAACTCGGTAACACCCTTAGATGCAACTTTACGACCACTCATTGCCAGCCTGCCGTGAGGAATGTGTCCTTTGGGAGGGTAACATTGGAAGGAAGGAAGAATAGCTGCTGATTTTCCGATGACCATCAGGAACTATAGGGTGTCGGTTTCATCAGATTTGAAGTCAACTATTCATAATTGACATGTTGCCATTGACATACAACCGCCTGCGTGGACTGCAGACTCTCAGCTTCAGAATAATGCGGAACTTCTCACAACCGTTAGACAGTAAGGATAAAATGATACGCGCCACTCTCAAGTGAGCCTACTATCTGCGCATATATCCTTGCTGCTAATGATGTACACAACCGTATTTGAATAGAGTGAAGTGGTTTATCAACGTCACGCAGTTTGCTAGTGGTTGCACTAAGAGGAGCAGGAGCTAGTCTTAAGTGGAAATACATACTGGTCTGTCCGAAAATTTTGTAAAATGGTAAAAATGCTTCGAAAATGCAAAAATAATGGAATGTTCTCAGATCTTCACTGATTACGAGATCGCATGCATGCAAAAAAGTTTCATTCCTTATTTACTAAAAAAAATCATTTTAGATGAGTACTAAAGGTAAATCGATTTTAAAATCTTCCTGGAGAGTGTGAGTAACCCTACACGAAGGAGGAAAACTTACTTATTAAATGCATGCCATGCATAACGTAGGCGGAAAATGATGGGGAACAGACCGAATCTCGATGGTGCCCTTGAGAAAGATACTTATAGCACAAGCGACTAGTACAGGACTGACTATCAGATAGTTTCCCCAACAGTAAAATCCAGCCTTCTCGTAGAACCTCTTTCCAAACTCGGAAAAATCGACCTTTAACTAATGCATATATTTTTTTGAACTTTCGGTGCCTCCAATTTATGGCTCCTGAAATAGTGCAGTTAGGACGTGTCTCATGTTCACTGATAACCAGCGACGCCTTAGCTCCGTTTTGAAAATTTAAGGAAGAGCGTGTTTCAGTTCTACACTTAGGCTGTAGTTGAGACACTTTATCCGATAACAGACTAGGTTTTCCTGTGGTCAAATAGCCAACGTTTACTGGGGTTGCTTCCAAAGTGTGCTGACTAGCCTAAGGCCTTGGCTGTATTTTGCAAGAGATAGAAAGTTTCGTGATGAAGCTGTGATCAACTACATGAATTTGGATGGTGCATGAGAGTATTGGCTCTTAGTATTACAAGTGGACTTGCGCCCAATTCCAGAGGCTATTAAGGTCAGGATTCGAATTAGGCGTGTCGGATCCAATACTGGGGTTAGGGTTAGGGTCAACGTTAAAACACAGTACTGGTGCCTCCTGGAATTAAGCGCAGCATGAATTCCTTCTAGGCAAGTTCTGCAAAATATTACTTACTAAAAAATCGTCACATTTGAAGCATAATAGGTTCAGTGAAGTTGGTCAAATCAGAAATCATCTTCTTTCCAAGTTCAGCATTTAAATTCCTTTCGGTAATTTTTTCTGAGAGTTAGAAAGAAATTAGTGGAATAAAGGAATTCGGTGAAAAGTGTGTAGTACTGGGACAGTTAGTCTGTTAGGAAGACGCCCAACCAAACATCAGCACGCTTGTCTGGATCACTTTCCGATTTGTTTTGGAACCCCTTTTAAGTAGTAATTTCCGCATGAAAACATGCACGGTCTTTAAGTACAGTAAGAGGCCAGCTTCTCATTTTCTGCGGCGTAGCTCGGAGTTTTTACGTCCATTTTCCCTAGTTTTGCCGCTCACCTTAAGTACTGCCTTTCCACTGAACAAGATTTTAACCGAAAGCCAGTATGCATTCTAGTTGAAAGTGTTCAGAATTTTTATATGAATCCATAGTGCAGTCGACCTAGGCAGTCTTTCCTAAATGAAGTCCGATCGGGAAATTTTTGCCAACATTTTGGTACTTGCGGCGCTCAGTGCGCGTGTGTAGCGGCGAGAACCTATTGTAAAGTAACGCTCCTGTAAACATCGATTCATGGATAGCAAGGGACTGTTTTGACGGCGTTGGTGGTGGAGTGTTCGTCTGGCGAGGCGGGCGACAACCGGTGATGAAGGGAAGCAAGAATGGATTTTTATGGTTTGGCGACTAGCCCATTCATTCTTGTGTGGTGACTTTCATTCTGTCAGTCAAACTTGTTTACTACTTTCCTGAGAAGTTTCGCACAAAACATGACTGCGTGTGCCGGGATTGCTAGGTGGACTTTTGTATAAAAGATAAATAGATGAATTTACAATGCTGGTTGATTTGAAGCTAATAGTCGATATGACTAATCACATTGTTGTGTGATAAAACCTGCCAGTGCTTAGTTTGCATGCATTTTTCCGATTTTTAACGCTTGTTTAAATTAAATTATATCTTTCTTTTCCAGTGCTTATTTCGTGCGAAAACACGCCTACCTGAGATGCCATGCTTACGAGTACGGTGTATTTCGACATTAAAATATTAAGAGATTCACACATCTGCCCAAATCCTACATTCCAGTCTGGTTTCAGGATTTCGAACCTACACACCACGCAAGGAATATGCACCTGTTTTAGAGCATTTCGCATACTTTTTTAGGAAGAACAAATGAGTTTGTGTCAATCACATTTTACCAAACTCATGCACGTGTTTAAGAAATATTTATGTCTATATATTCATTTTCGGCAAAATGTAACTGCGAATGGAATGTATGTTTGTGCGAAATGAGCAAGATTCCGCTGCGTAATGGGTGATGCGTTATGGTGCTCATCCTAATGCCCTGAAATTGCATTTTTCGTCCACTTTTCTTGGTGTCAGCTTTAAAACTGTCCTAATTGCAACTGTATAACTATTTCCGTTAGATAATTCTCAAACATTTTCAACAAACAGAGGTTCTCAGGGAATTTTCCTCAGGATGCAAAAGCTCATTCACCTGCAGCAGAGAGGATGGAAACATAACTCTGTAGCCAACATTTGTGCATAAATAAGTATTATGTGGGAGTCTAAAATTACCGTGACTTAGCTTCAACCATCCAATTTTGCATTTACCAAAACTCCCCCACGATGAAAGGTTGTTTCGGAAATCTCCACACCTTCCCTATGAAATCAAAATCGCTATTGCCAATTCCGTCTCAATGAGCTCTTGCCTACTAGCTGCATGAGTCTGTAGAGGCCTTGTCGAAAGCTGTTTATAGCAGCTGCCCTTGGAATATGATCGAAGTTATTGTATGAAGGATGGACGCAAAAAATGGACGCCGGTGCGATTACCAGAGAGCGCTGGCTTTGCGACTATAAACCAGCATGTCTCCAAGTATGAATTGGACAGGAATAACTTCGCATGTAAATAAACAATTCAGTCCCGATTAAGTAATCTTTTCTAGTTGACTACTTATTTTCAAATTTTGCAAAGAGTTTCATGGTCTGTGGTGGCAACCGCATGGCTATTGTTAGAAGTCGGATAAACTTAAAATTCAGTTTGCCACATAAAACAAACCGTTGCTAGCGAGCAAAAAACGGATTTTGACACGCATTTGCGATAGTTCCGGAGCGAAAACAGACCGGCGGCGTTCACTATCCGGGCGAGACATGATCCGAAAACTGCAATCAGTAACTACAGATTTGAACGAATTCACATCAACCCGAGGTTATAGAAATGGCATTTCCAGAGAATCTCAGTCTACTTCCGATTAAGAGTGTTGCTGTTTTACTTAGCCGTTCAACCGTTTGTCTTAGCTGACTGCGTCTTCCTTTTTCTCTGTTGCCTTCTTGTCACTCTGAGCACGAATAATCCATGAACTATTTAATTTGTATTAGACCTTACTGTTTCTCCGGTTATTCCCATCACCACTCCTCAGACAGCGGAGCATTGCGATACTAAATCACAGTCATTCTCCAAGAACCAATTCTTGCCAGCTAGACAAACAAGTGGATTGATCTCTCCGGAATTAGGGACCCGACCCAGACACCCAGGGACGTGGTCGACACAAATCTGCTCTCCGCGATAGCGGCTGCTGTGGTCTACGTGTTGCTGGAAAAAACGCATAAGACTTCATTCACGTCAAGCAAATGTTTTTCCCTTCAGGCAAGTTTAACGGATGAGGTAGGTATAAAAGCCAGTACTTGAAATACGTGACATGCCAACTTCGATTTGGAAGGCGTGTTACCAATAATGTGCAAATCATTTTGATATCCTAGTCAGCATTTAAAGCCATACGCCAGACTGAACCATAAATAAAGGTTGGCTGCAACTTTATAACATTTTCTTCAGGCCAATTGACAATTTGAGGAAAATTCTGATAATCACTGAAAGGAAATGGTGGATGTTTGTCGAATGCGCCTTAAAATGTCGTCTGCTAACTTCTATTAAAACGAGCCAAAACGACGTAAAATACATTGATTTCTGATTGGCAAATTGCCAGGATAAAAGAGAGTGGGATCTCCACAGTAACAACCCACGGCGATCCTGTCAACTGCAACTGTGGTTGAGGAAGCCCACATGGTGGCTTGAGGGAGCGACTTGGGACTTGATATGTGTTCATAACATCCCCGCAATATTCATGAGGGTGTAAGGGCACTCCACAATAACTACCGAGTCTTCAAAACGTTGCGTAGCATACCACATTAGATTTCTCTAAGCATAAGTAGAAGATTAAAGTAAAACTTTAACTCCAACTAAGTGTGAGATGTGGCAAGAGCTTCATTGAGATAAAATACGGCAATCCACAGAGCCAAGAAAGTGACCGAATGTAGATTTCCGTCTCAAAAACCTGGGTCTGGCATGGGTGCATTGGAATATTCTAGGATCATGAATACTCTGTTTTTCGAACATTCCGACAAGACTGTTCCGCGTTTAAGGTCATGCTTAAAATAACTCGAGTACACTCTCAAGCCACGACTGTGTGCTCTCCGACAAACGCAGCGCAACAACCCTGACGCTCTGCGATTATAATCAGGTGCTGACACCCGGTCTGCATGCATGTAGCAAGTACCCCAGCACCTTTAAGAAGTCAGGCCCCGTTTGAACGTTGAAATGCATGGAACACTCAATAAACCCTGGAAACATGTCATCACATGAAGATATTTACCTAGGCGATGTGATGATATTAATAGGCCCAACGTGTTGTGTCAAGCTGCAACGAGAAAATCGATAAAACAAGTGCCTTTTAAACTTTCAGGTGCTTATTTTTGCATGTTGGTTATGGTACAGGCTCTGAGCAAATGCGAGTATTACACGATTGCCTAGTTGAAGGTGAAAAAATTCGACAGAATTATTGACTGATTGCAAGGTCAAGCCTAAAACATTGTTTTAGAAAACTCGCATTTAAAAATAACGTGCTAACGTCCAGCATAATTACGAAACTTACTAAGTAAATTAAGGAAAAACTCTTTGAGTGTCAACCGTGATTTCTTTCCTTTAATTGTGTCCGCCAAATCTTTAGGAGGTAGAAACACTTATTTTCAGTGATTCTGAATTTTTTCAAAATATCTGCGCGAGCGATAGCTTTTCCCCATTTCGTGAGAAGGTAAGTCTGCTCAGAACGCACTACTTAGAGCTTTCGTGTATTTCGAAGCCCACTCTAAATTTCAGTCATAGCCTAGATATTTGTACTGAACTTAGCGCGTCTCCGTTAAATAAGCTCTTGCACACCTTAGGTACGTTTTGAGTATTGCTCGTCGATATGCAGTTGCCTCTATGTTTATGGACATCAGCTGCAGAACACGGGGAAACGCTCTTATCTGACCCTGCTTTCCCACTGAAAGTGGTTTTTGGGTTGCCTTGACGAGTCCCGACCGCAGTCTGGATGCACCCAGAATTTTTTACATCTTCTAGCATCCCTGCCCTTGAGGATGATACTTCGAGGTCAAAAGATGATCGACCGAATGTTGTGATAATCCGGCCGGATGCAATGTCTCACACTCGGATTCAAGGAGATCAAAGAAAAACGACAATTTTGGCCCTAGTCTACAGTATGTAGGTTAAAATGTCTGAGCCAACCTAAACAACGACAGAGGAGGAAATATTGAGCGGGCCGTCAGTTTTCATCGGCCTTTTCAGACAAATTTATGTTTTCGAATATAATCATTCTCAACCCTTCCATCAGTATCCACAATATGGATTCTAAAATCAGACGTCACAGGAGCTCTTAAAGACCGTAACTTATCAAAATTACTATCTACCCTGACATCAGTGGCCATTCCTCTGTTTGTTTTCAGATAAACTGGATATTAGACCGTCCACACTCAACCATCAGATAATTTCTACCCCAACCTCCTCATGAATTCGGCGTGAGAGTTCCTGACATATTAGAGGTTTTGAAACGTTTGAAGAGCATTCCTCCGAACGGACGTTTTGCCGGCTTAATTTGCCAAATAAAAATATGGGGAATCTAGAAGCATAGGGACGTGGTTGGCACTGACCCAACGGAAACGTATTGCCCGTTTGTTTAAAATGACAGTATTTTGAACCATAATGATAAGATATGAAAAATCTAGTCTGCTGCTGGTAAACACTAGAGCTACAAGTGCAGTTTCTACACGAAAGATTTTCTCGAGCAATTAAGGAATGTTAGCACTGAAATTCGAAAAATATCTTCAGATTTTCACACTACAAGTTTTCTAAAATTGCTTATTCGGTGAGGCAAAAGTGCAGTCGTCAAAAGTACGACAGGCTATGACGTTACTCTTTCTTAAAAAGCTAAGTTTACGAACTCAGAGACATTACTCAATGCCATGTATGGCCTTCAACAGCTTATAATATTCCACGATATTGAATACGGCCCAAAGACATTAGAACAGAGGGAGACGCGTGTCTTCAGCAGGAGAGCCTGAGTGCACGACTCGAATGACAGAGTCTTTAGCCTAACGTAAACTGGACTCGGGTTAGAACACGGCCGATTGCCAACGAACGTAAAGTAACTTATATGTGCTTACTCCTTGGGATCCTATGATAGCTCATTAATGACTGCCTTTTATAAGAACAAGATATTTGACGAGTACAGTATGGTAGAATGCATGTCAGACATGTATGAAATCTTAGAGAATGCTGCATGTTGATTTAAACTAAAAACAGTAGCAGCATGGGCGGGATGCACTGAAGACTGGAAAAGTCATCAACATTACTTTACCTGGCGTATCCCAGAAATCAACGATGACAGTGTCACCAGCCCTGTTAACTTGGACGGGAACCATGTCGAACATGGTGGGCCGGTAGGTTCCTTTCAGGGGCCGATTGGCTAACCTTGACAAAAGGTAGGATTTTCCAACCTTGCTATCTCCCACTACAACGCATTCAATGTGCGGATCGGCAGAGTCCCGTCTCTTCATTTTTGCTTTGCGTAATTTTTCTGGTGCTTGTTTGAGCAACGGTAGTTGAGGAGGGGGATAACTCAACAGCTTGCACTTCTCGCTCAATCGCATCTGCAGCGCACACTGATTGGTTAAAAACGACCTACAGATTTGCCTTCATACTATTGGCTGTCTTCCACGCGTGATGTCGCGTGCACACGTTTGCGTAAAAACCCTACTCATGTTCGGAAGCCTGAGGTTGATGAGCTGAAGTTAAAAATCAGCAGTTTCACTGGGGATTTTTCGCTATTTTGTTCTGTTACAGCCGTCTGGATAATATCGTTCAGCTTTTCGGGCGCTTTAGTGAGCATAATTTCGTTTAAACTCGAGCTGGATTTTTGCCATGCGCCAAGCGAAATAAAGTCCATTTTCTCCTTGTGGTAGGCTCACAGCCAAATTTTGGCGGCTTCTCGATTCTACTGTTTAATGCTTAATGTGCCGCTATCAAGGTTCGTATAAGAACAACGACTAAACTCTTTTCGATAAGGAAGGCTTTTATAAAAGGAGACACGATCGCCGAGACAAGAGCTTTATTAGCCTGACGTTTCGGATTCCTACTTGAATCCATCATCATAGACAAAAGAGCAGAAACGGGTGGTTGCTGCACAAGGGACTGCGGTATTTATAGAATGCAGTAGCCATGCTACCGCATACCTATGAACATTCACGGCTCCCCCCTTCATCCGGAATCGTCGCACTTGGTGTGATCACTGCTTGATGGCCGACATTCGAGTCGATAATTGCTGCAATTTCATCACGTGCGTTGGATGTTGGCGTGATGATTGCTCGACCATCTGACGCACTGACCCCGGTGTTGGGATAAGTGTTCACATCTGCGCTCCTAGATTCTGGTGAACTAAAAACCAAAGTGTTCAGGAAAGCGACAAATACAATGCAAGTGCTAAACTTCAACAGTAACCACCCAATCAGCCACAAACGCAGTTGTCTAAGGACGCTCTATCGGCGTGTCGAAACGCACTGCAGTGAGCCGGAAGACAAAATTGCCGAACTACAATACCTCCGACGGGTCTTCAAAGCCAATGGCTACCCGCGCAACTTCGTCAACCGGTGCATACGCAAAAGGGACGAAAGGCCTAACCGCACGGACACCAAATCTTGACGGGCACTTCCGCATGTCAAGAACGTTTCGGAAGCTGTCGGCCGCCTTCTCGCACCACTTGGGGTTGGAGTGGCACACAGACCGGAAGCAACCATCAGGCGTCTGGTCATGAAACCGAAAGCCCCACTGCCACGGCTAGAAACGTCTGGAGTCGTTTATCAGATCTGGTGCAGTTGCGGACAAAGCAACTACGTCGGAGAAACCGGAAGACAGCTCCGAACGAGAATGGCCGAACACGCGGCAGAGGTGCGCAGAAATGACGCCAGCTCTCAAGTTGCGGCTCATTCGACGAGATCCGGCCACACATTCAAATTCGATGAGGCCGAAATTCTCGCAAGAGGTGACAACCGCGTGAGCCGGGAGCTACTGGAATCATGGTTTACTGGCCCCCAGTCCATCAACAAGTGCAACGAGCTTCCCACTCCATACTGCGTGCTAAAATTTCGCCTAGGCGGAGTAACAAGCCATGCGGGGAGCGCAGAGGTGAACACTTATCCCAACACCGGGGTCAGTGCGTCAGATGGTCGAGCAATCATCACGCCAACATCCAACGCACGTGATGAAATTGCAGCAATTATCGACTCGAATGTCGACCATCAAGCAGTGATCACACCAAGTGCGACGATTCCGGATGAAGGGGGGAGCCGTGAATGTTCATAGGTATGCGGTAGCATGGCTACTGCATTCTATAAATACCGCAGCCCCTTGTGCAGCAACCACCCGTTTCTGCTCTTTTGTCTCTGATGATGGATTCAAGTAGGAATCCGAAACGTCAGACTAATAAAGCTCTTGTCTCGGCGATCGTGTCTCCTTCTTCAAGACTACTTCCTGGGACTCGTCTCTGCGCTTCTGTGGAAGCCTTTTAATTAAAACTTCCAGCAGACCATACTTGGCTTTATGAATATGTATGCTATTGCTAGAAGCCTTCGAGCTTAGTCGCCAGATCAATGGTCTGAGATACTATGCACGTGGATGATATATTCGCGATTGCACCTGAAAAAAAACGACGTTTCAGTTCTACTGAATGATGTCAATCAGGCGCACCCATCAATCAAATTTACTCTGGAAGAAGAGCGATCCGGATCGCTCCCCCTTTTGTGTAGACTTTTAAGTAGAAGGCCTGACGGTAGTATTCGACGTAGCGTCTATCGTAAGAAGACGTGGTCTGAGCAATAAACCAATCTTAGTAGTTTCGTATCGTTAACATGAAGCATAATTGAGTCCCCTGTTTAACACAAGCAGTATGGAGCATCTGCTCGGCTGATGGCATAAAGGAAGAACTTAAAATTGTCAAAAATCTCGTTCGCTAGAAAGGGGACTCCGATTGATTCATGGCTAAGTACATGGCCGAAAGACCATCAAAGCCTCTGATGCTGACGGCAGAAAAGAAAAAGCCTTCCATCAGGGTCCCGTTTCAAGGGGACGCGCCAAATGAACTTCTAAGAAGGCGCATAACCCAAACTGTATCACGCACCTTTCCAGCAGCTGACGCCCGCGCACTCTTCTGCACTAGCCCCATCCTACACGGAGAGTCTTTAATCCCTTACCTGCTCCTGTAGGGCAGAATATATTGGTCGCACGAGCCGGTATTTGTCCAAAAGAGCAAGGGAACACCCTCCAGCATGGTATGAAAGGGCCAAATAATGAACGTCAACAGCTTTATCCTCGCCCACATGGTAGACATAGATCACTGTGTAGATGCCGCACAGGCATTTCGAGTGATTTACAAGGTCCCGTCGAAATATCCAAAATCACTTGGACAGCGTCTGTTGGCAACAGCAGCGGCGGCTGCAATCAGGCTATACAAACCAGTTCTATGCGCACCAAAGAACTTCGTACAGGCCCCACAGTTACCATGGCCCAAGGCCACCATGCCGGCTACCTGCGTATAATTACCCGTTCCAGTGCCCACCATCCCCTTCCCCCCCTGACACTGACGGTAATTTCGTTTTCCACCTCACCCACCCAGACCCCCCCAAACCCCAGCTGCAGCATGACTTCTCCTTGTCCACATTTTCCTTTTAATCATTTCGACAGCAATATAAATGTATAGGCCTGATGAGAGTTTATCGAATGCTTACGTATGTTCGCCTAACTGTCTTTTGATTTATTCAATGGGGATTTTTGCAACTGTATAATCTATATATGTTTGAGATGGCAATCCGAATAGCTGTGCTGTTCTACCGGTAGTTCGAAAATGTGGCGATTTTTAACTTGTACAACTTTCAGTTTATTTAGAGCCCAACTGACAGATATTTAGAAAACAGATTTGGTGAACACGCCTCTTCCTCATTTCGAAATCCGGTGATTGCAATTGCATAGCAGCCGCCAGAATAGAAAGTCACATTGGGAATATGATTTGATCTTCTGCTATGCAGATGTAAGCGGCCCACACAGGGGCTGGTACTGGAGTTAAGCTCCCTCCACAAAGGTGCCAGGTCATTCACGGCTCAAGCAGCGAATTGAAAGGGGTTAATAGACAGGCCGAAGACAGTCATGAGTAATCGGCCGCAGCAGTGGACTACCGCAGGAAGTTAGGCGGCACTCGAAGATAATCTGTTGGATTAGGATTTGAAGACCCGAGAATTACTGCATGACCCTTTTTACGCCTTCGTGTAGAAGATGAGTCTTATGAGCATGTCGCCTGTTCTTCTTGATCGCGACACGCCAAAAAAGAATGCCAATTATTCCTTCCGACCTTAATTTTAAGGTTCTTGGATGAATGCGCAATATGTTTCCTTTGAAGCAGCTCTTCTAAATAAACTTGCCCAGTTAATTTCTGCAAAAACATCTTCAATGTATTCCCCTTAATAATGCACATTTTCGACGAATTCACTTGAGTTAATGATCTCTGGATTTACTACGAAGTTTTCCTCTAGGCCGGACTCTGACAGCGGCTCCTTAAGGGCTTCAACAAGTGCTCTGTAGCCGAGTTCACTGAATCGGAAGTAGGTACTAAGAATGCATCTTGAAGATAGCCTCTTCAAAGTGCTTCAAAGTTTTCCCCTTCAGAAACGTTGTGTGGGTGGTTCCGACTGGAGGCACAGTGGTACACAGAGATGCGACATCTAACGAGGACACAATCGAATTGCTTAAAACACATTTATTGCTGGAATCAACAAAAGCCATCCCGTCTCCTGCGTAACGACAGTAGCGAATTGTGATCAACTGGCTTTTGCTTTCAGCGTCAACCATTTTGCTATCAAGACGCAAGGGACACTTCCAATGTCTGTGGACTGTGGAGAGGGTTGCATACTGACTTCGCTGATAATCTCGAAAAACTTCAAGCAGACTGTCAGCCGACTTTCTGCGCCCTATTGAGATCTTTTTCCTCGCACTTATTGGATGTTCTCTCACCTATTTGGATAATTTTATTTTCAAAAGGCAATTTGGCGAGCATACGTCTGCTTTCGATAAATTCTCTTCAGGCCTGTACATTTATATGGCTAATGAAGTATGAATTAAAAGATACGGGCAGGTAGATAATTAAGCTCGGGTTTGGAGAGGGGAGGGGAGGGGGAGAGTGAAACACCACAATTCCAGTCAGCGCCCGGGAGAAGGTGGGTCCCGGCGAAGGTAATTACATGCGGGTGGTTGGCTTGGTGGCTTTGAACCGTGGTAACTGTGGGACCTGTATGAAGTTCTTCTGTGCGCATAGGACCGGTCGGCGTAGCCTGATTGCAGCCGCCTCTGCCGTATCCAACAAGCGCTGCCCAAGCAGTTTTGGATAGCTTGATGGGACCTTGTAAATCACTCTGAAACCCTCTTTGGCGTCTACACAGTGGTCTGTGTCTACCATGTGCGCGACGATCGAGCTGCTGATATTCTTTATTTGTCCCTTTCCTAACCATGCTGGGAG